GCAAAGCCAGTTTGAACTGCAAGGCCAGTGGCTCAAGCTCACCAGCTGCTCCTCAGAAACCCTATACAGGGTCTCTATGGGTCGGAACCAACTTGATGGCACTTAACAACAACAACAATACACGGCATAGGAGTCCTAGTGTGGCACTGTAGGATAAAGCACTGGACCACAAGGTAGGTTTGAACTACAAGGCCAGCAGTTCAAACTCAGCAGTTATTCCTTGGAAATGCTATATAGGGTTGCTATGAGTTGGAACTGACTCGACGGCACTTAACAACAATACATGGCATACGTAGACTATCAAAAATTACAAAAAATGCACAAACAATAGAAGACAAAATAGATGACTGGGACATACTGAAAATTAGAAACTTATGTGTATCAAAATATTTCACCAAAGGAGTAAAGAGGGAGCCCACAGACTGGAAAACATTTTTTTTGCCATGACTTATTAGACAAGGGTCTAGTGTCTAAAATCTACAGCAAACTAAAACACGTCTACAAAAAAAATACCAGTAACCCAATTAAAAAGTGGGCACAGATATGAAAGGAAGATATTCAGGCAGCCAATAAACATATGAAGAAATGGTCACAATTATTAGCCACTGTTGTTGTTAAGTGCCGTCGAGTAATCTCTGACCCATAGCAACCCTGTTAAGGGATTTCTAGGAGCAGTTATAAGAGAGATACAATCAAAACAACAACGAAACCAGCAATACCTGTGAAACTCAAGTGAGCACAGGACAACAAATGCTGGATAGGGTGTGGAGAAACTGGGACACTCCTACATTGCTGGTGGGATTGTAAAATGCCTCAACCACTCAGGAAAATGCTACAGCATTTCCTCAGAAAGTTGGAAATAGAAATACCTTATGATCCAGCAAACCCTCTACTTGGTTTATGTTATTGTTGTTAAGTGCAGTCGAGTTGGTTCCGACTCACAGTGACCATGTATAGGGTTTCCAAGGAGTGGAGGTTGACTTTGAACTGCCGTTAATGCAGTTCAAACCAATCTTGCAGTCCAGTGCCACACCAGAACACATGTACATACATGCACACTAATGTTCACTGTAGCACTATTCACAATAGCAAAAAGATGGAGGCAGTCTAAGTGCCCACCAAAGGAAGAATGGATAAACAAACTTTGGTACATACACACAACGGAATACTATGCTATCTTTAAGAATAATCACGAAGCTGCAAAACACCTCATAACATGGATGAACCTGGATGACATTACACTGAGTGAAATCAGACAATCGCTAAAAGACAAATATTGCATAACACAACTATTTTAAAAGCTTAATAAATGATTTCCAGGCAAAAAGAATTCTTTGATGATTACCACAGGTAGTGGGAGAGGAGAGTAAATCACAGGTTAGGGGATAGACACATGACAGATTAGGGAAGGCAATATACAAGGAGTGGGACGGTAGTACACAAGAAGGGGGAGGAAGGTAGACTAACAAAGAATATAGAGGAAGACTTAGGAAGGTTTGCATGGGCTAAAAGGGTTAGTGGAAAATAGTGATGTACATTCAACCTTAGAACAACAGGGCTCTGTGATACAGGGATTGAGACGGAGTCTGAATGGGTCAAGGAGGGGAAATAATGTTAAGGTGCTTGGCCTTGGTCTTGTGGATATTGCTTTCCTCTGCCTACTATAGTAAAACAGACATTTAAGTGGGATAGAAAGGAATATTGGGGACTATGATTACAGAAAGCTTGTAAGCCTGTCTTCAGTCTATAACTGAATGGAGTAGTTAGAAGGGGTACTATAATCTGCCCAGAGAAATATGCTTCCTGATAAGCCTTTGTGGAGTACGGGGCCTTATGTAGAATCTTTACCCCACCCAGAACCTTCTGAGGTGGGACATTCTCACTTGAAACGACAAGCAGACCAACCTGGAGTCACTAGAGGAACAGAAGAAATTTCTTGAAAGATAGACCAACATTAAAACAAAACAAAAAAAAGCAGACTGGTTGTTACAAGATCAAGCAAGTTGTTTGCCTTGGAGCATCAAGGCAAGAAAAGTCAGTTCATCAGGGTAAACCCCTTCCAAAATTTGAAGGGAACACATGGGCAGGCTTGTAAACTTGCTGGTGACTGCCCAGGTCTATTTGTAAGTGGAAGTGGGGGAAATGCAGCAAGGAAGACAAGAGCTAAGGTTGGCAGTGACTAAGTTTGGCAGCCATTGATACCTGTTGACCTTGAAATAAGAGAGAGAAGAGGAAGGGCTGGCTGGTCTTAAGTTTAGTAAGATGTGTGAACTCCCGAACCCATGGACAATGACCTAGTCACTGGGGATCAGATGGTCTGAAGGGGGAGGAGGCAAACTTGCAGATGGTACCCATGTGACCTAGCTTGGATGCCTTGCTGACCAGAACTCGAGCAGATGAAGATAAAGAAGTTTGAGATAGGCAGCAAGTGTAAATTGCTACAATTTGATGAACTGGACCTTTGCTTATGGATGTAGCTGCTCAAAATTCCAACCAACAGGGAAGGATTTTTCATATCAAAGATCAAGCTTGCCCCCTCAGTACACTAGGTTGATAGGGATGGGCAACTTAAGACATTGGCTACCAAAAATGGCAGGGGGGGGGGGCTATACGAGCAAAGAGTGGCTGGCTTAAAAGGTTTCATGAGTGTGCTTAGTTTCTGAATGATGGGGTAGGGTAGAATTCCCACTGAATAGTTTTTCTCTTGTCCAGATGGGTCTGGTGAAGTGGGATAGGGGAGAATGGGGCTAGGACTTTTTGATTCAATAGTGAGCAATTGTTATCATGACTAATTGTGGTAGTCACAACTATAAATGTAGAAGACGTGAAACTAAAATGTGGGAATAGTTAATCTTCCACTCCAGGAATAGAGGACCCTAGGACCATCAAGAGGGAAGAGCATGAGTGGAGCATGAGATCCTAACCAGAAAAGTGACAACAGCAGATACTGAGGCAGAGGTGAAGGCACAGAGAGAGAGAGCAGCTGAGGACTCTCAGCCCATGAAATGAGGAAGGCTGTGTGCCTGTGGGCAAGAGGCTGGCTTGCAAAATGTGCCCTTTAGACATTTAAACGAATATATACATTGTCAGCTTGAGGGGTAAGGTGTGCTTGACCCAAGCCATAGTATTTTCAATAAGCTCATATGCATGTGAAATCTGGACAGTGAATAAGGAAGACCGTAGAAGAATTGATACTTTTGAGTTATGGTGTTGGAGGAGACTATTGAAAGTGCCATGGGCTGCCAAAAGAACCAAGAGATCCGTTCTGGAAGAAGTGTAGCCAGAATGCTCCTTGGAAGCCAGGAGGGCTAAACTTTGTCTCTCATACTTAGGACATATTGTCAGGAGGGACCAGTTGCTGGAGAAGGATATCATATTTGGTAAGGTGGAGGGTCAGAGAAAAAGAAGGAAGACCCCCCAGTGAAATGGACTGGCAAAGAGGCTGCATCAATGGGCTCAAGCATGGTAACAATTGTGAGGTTGGCCCAGAACCAGGCAGAGTTTTGTTCTGTTGTGCATAAGGTTGCTATGAGTCAGTACTGACTCAATGGCACCTAACAACAACATATTTTCTGTACATTAAAAAAAAGGGGGGGGGGAATTAGATGTAAATACTGCTAACAGATGGGCTAATCATTGCAATGAAATAAAATATGACTTATTGAGTGTAAAACAAATGGTCTTTCCTGTACACTATCACTCAATTCACAATATAAGCTTTTTAAAAAAAAAATGGGGGCTATAAAGGCACAAAGTAGGTGGCTTACAAGCTTTTATGAGTGTGCTTAGTTTCAGAATGAGTGGGGTAAGGTAGACTCCCAACTGAATAGTTTTCCTTTTCTCCAGATGGACCTGGTGATAGGGATGAGGGGTGATGCTGATAGGATTTTAGGTTTTAATTGTGAGTAATTCTTAGCAGGATTAGTTGTTATTATCACAACTGTAAAAAGAAGATATGTAACTAAAAGGGGGAGTAGTTTATCTTTCATTTCAGGAACAGGAGATCTTAAGACCATCAAGAAGGAAGCATGAGAGTGGAGCATGAGATCCTACTAGAAAAGTGGAAGTGGTAGAGGTGGTGGCAGAGGCAGGGTGGAGAGAGAGTAGCTGTGGGCTCTTCGCTCATGTAAGAAGTAAAGCTGAGTGCCTGCGGGCAGGAGGCTGGCTTGCAGAATGTGCCCTTAGGACATTTAAATGAATACATGTTTTTCATTTTGTATGTGTACATCAAATATTTTTGCTTCGTTAATTTGTGAAAAATAAGATGTAAAAGGGAAGTCACAGGGAGAAAGTTAAGATAACATGTTGTTTTCAGAGAAGAGATTTTAATCACAAAGAAAATAATTTGTTGAATGTAAAGTTGATGATCTTGTCTGTTAACCTTCACTCAAGTCACAATAAAAAGTAAAAAAAAACATTGCCCTTTTAAGCAATGCAGTGGCTGTTACTAATCTCAGATTATTTAAAATATTTTTAAAAAAAACAACACATACCTACTATTGTTTTTGTGTACCATCAAGTCGGTTCCAACTCATAGATACCCTGTATAGGAAGGATTTCCAAGAGTGGCTGGTGAGTCTGAACTGCCAACCTTACAGTTACCAGTCTAATGGTTATCCTACAGTGCCACATGAGGACTCATACTTACTATTAGCACTACTCAAATCCACTGTCCATATTTTAACTGAGTTGTTATTTTATCGTGGAGTTGTAAGAGTCCTTTATATATTCTAGGTGAAATTACCTTATCAGATATATGATTCACAATTTTTTTTTTTTTTTACCATTCTGTGGTTTTTATTTTCTTGATAGCGCTTTTTAAAGTACAAATGTTTTTAATGTGGAAGTCCAATTTATTTATTTATTGGCACTTGTACTTTTAATGTCATGTCTAAGAAAGCACATTCTAAGGAACTTTGATTTGGAATGAATGTAAGAAATTTTATTCTTATGTCAATAAATGTATATGCATATAAAACGATATAAATAATCCAACATACCCACATCTCGCAAAACAATTAAAAATTCAGACTCTGGTAGTCCATAGGCATTAGAAGGCTCTTCTAAAACAGTGTATAAACTTCCACATGGGCAAAATTCCATAATAAGTACTTTATGTCTTGTAGTTGTCTGAAAAAAAAATTTTTTTTATTATATGTTAGTACTTAGTTGATATCCTTTAAATGTAGAATTTGCAACAATGATGAAGGCGCTATGAACTGTTCACCATGGATTCATTAAATACTTGATTACATACATATAAGAATTATCATGTTCCCAAGTCCTACTGAGTAAACAAGTTAAATTTGTTTTTGAAGACAAACAATAGTGAAACCTTGCTAAGTAGGAACTAGAAAATCATTACTATAGTGTAAGTTATGTCAACATTATCTTTAATTTCTTATACAAAAACAATATATTTAAGACAATCAGCTGGTCTAATAAATATCTTAAACACTTAAAATCATTCTACTTCAAGGAATCGGGTCTGTTACAGTGGAGCAGCAATCCGCTCATTTGTATCTGAGCTGCAGATTTGTTTTACAACTTGATTTTAATGTAACAATGATTGTTAAATTATCATAAATTTAACAATACCTTATTAAGGAAATACTATAAAATTAAATATAAACATTTTTATGTTGTTGTCAAGTGCAGCAGAGTCAGTTCTGACCCATAGTGACCCTGTATAGGGTTTCTGAGGAGCTGCTGGTGAGCTTGAACCACTAACCTTGCAGTTCAAACAGCTTTGCAGTCTGGCACATTAACCCACAGTGCCACACCAGGACTCCAAACATTATTATAAGAAACATGAAAATGTGAACATGAGTTATATAACCCAGTATCTATCTTCCAACTTTTTCTCCATTCTCCCTCATAACTTTTTCTATATACCCCAAATGAATTTATAAAGTATTTTAAATTTCTTTACTATTCAGTAGCCATAAGAATAAAAACATGTTATTAAATTATGATCTAATAGATGTTGACAATTGAAAAATTTAAAAATATCAAATAATCTCATAACCCAATGATACTATCTTAATATTTTTATATATTTCCTTTCAGTCATTTCTTCCTATATATCAAATTATGTATGTATAACACTGCATGTATATTATACTGTATACGATGCTAAGTCAAAATGTATTGTTATTTGAGTTCCAGTTAACAATGGTTTATTCCAAACAAAACGTGTTTGAACATGTCTCTGCTATCAGTGGATGACTGCAAATAAATTATCTCAGTAATACACATATTAGTCTCATAAGGATAAACACTGGACTGTGAACCATAGGCTGGTGGTTCAAACTCACCCTGCCACTCTGGGAGAAAGATGAGGTTTCCTGCTCTTGCAAAGATTTACAGCCTCGGAAACCCTATAAAGGTCGCTATGAGTCGAAACTAACTCAAAAGCACTAACAACAACAAAGTGTGCCTTTAAGGGAAAAAAAAAAGGTCCAATCAAAACAGTGGCCTCCCAACTGGTTCTGATTATGTGACGTGAACATTTAGACCAGCTAATGCCGGGCATCTGAGTTCAGGCCCATTTGATAAAAATAAAATGCACTTCACTAATTTAACCACTGCCACGTATATTTCCAATTTCCACCAGACATCAGCAATGATACCTCTTGTTCCACAGCCTCTTCTGAATCCAGTTTGAACCTCTGGAAGTTCTCTGTCAATGTATGATTATAGCCATTTCTGTATTACCTTTAGCAAAACTTAACTCGCTTGAGATATCAAAGAGACTGTCCGATGATTTCCGCATTCCGTTGGGTCACCTCTCTTTGGAATGGGCATAAACATTGATCTCTTCCAGTCAGTAGGCCAGATAGTTGTCTTCCAAATTTCTTGGCAGAGATGAGTGAGTGCCTCTTGTGCCGCCTCACTTTCTTGAAAGATTTCAATTTTTAT